CAGTATCCCAAAACCTCTCATCACTTCAGAATCTCCCCTTTGAAAGTCCAGATGCATCATCACATCCACTCTGAACTAATTAAGAACTTTCTGCTCATTACTACTTCAGAGAGTGAAGCTTTCCTCTTTGGTGGTGCGTGATCATACAGATGCCTCAGGGTTTATATGCCTTCCCGCCAGTCATTTTCTTAACTTTTTCTCTAATAAGCAACACAGTATCAGTACCGTTTCTGTACAACAGTGTTAGAAAAAAAGTGAAAAATCAATTAGAAATAAAGATATTAAGATTAAATTTATAACCACATAACTCTGGGACACAACTGAAATGGCTAATACAAAAAGCATGATTAGAAGTTCTGCTCTAACAAAGTGTTTATAAGAAGGAAAATACCTGACATAATTTTAAAAGTCTGAATGTAGCTAATGTTCAAAATTCAATACATTATTTTAAGCATTAGACAACTGAAAAGATGTATAAATAATTCAGACTCAACTCTAACCTCACACAAAGATGAATGCAACTTACAAACACAGGTGCCATATATTAATTTGCTGACCACCTGACGTCAAGGATTTTCTACAACTGCAAGTCCGGGCATGAAGAATTCCACTCCCAAACAATACCACAAGGGGTTGCCCATCTCTCTCTTCCCCTCCTCCCTTTCTCTCATCTCAGTTTTCACAATAGACCAGAACAACATCCTCTTCCTTTCCTCAACACCCAGCCCCAAGTACAAATGATGGAGGTGGGAGGGATGGATTCTAACCCAAAGGCAAAAAGAGTAGCAACCAAAAGCATCTCTCTTCAGAGGGTCAGATGTCTAAATATTCACGCTTGCTTTCATCAAAATGCTCCAAAAATTTTGCAGGAAGAATCACAACCTGGCGTTGCACAGAGAACTTCACTGCCATAACACAAAGGAAGTGTTTGAGACACAGGCACATACAGCAGGGCAGGGAACAGCTGAGAAGCTATCACTTTCCACACTACAAAAACATGACCTTTACAGTTGATTCAATCTTGTTCTGTGGCTTACATAATGAATCATCCTGTTAAAAAAGAAAAGCAGAATTGTATTACCTTTGTTTTTTGCTAGTGGAGATGGGGGCTGCTCTGTAAACACATCTGGGGAAGGGGATTCTGGGTGGTCAAAGTCTTTTTCCATAGTTTCTATGAGCCCAGTGAGATCTGAATCCTCCGAGCTGTGCCTTCTGCTGCTGACACACTCGCCGTGAGGCGGGCTGAGAAGCGGTAGCTGTGGCAAAGCACTTTCAGTCTGTTGCTCTTGCTGCTGGGGCCCGGACGTTGCGGGCTGCTGGAGGGGCTGCTCCGCCAAAGCTGGTGCCTGCTGCTGCGTCGGCTGCTGGTTCTGCCTCGTCCCCTTGGCTCTTTTGCCTGCGGCATGAGTCTGAGCTGCGGCACCCGAATCCAAGGTGAAGGGGCCCGCTCTGTTCACCGACTGCATGGAAGCTGCTTGTGCTGCAGTCCTGTTAGGTATGCTTGAACTGGGTTTGGATTTGATGTTTTCAACATCAGGTGCATTTCTATTGCTGTGAAGGTGTGCTGTTGCATTGCATTGTTTATGGTTGCCTGCACTGGATCGTGAAGACGAACTGCCTGCTGCATAGATCCCTCTGGATGAACTGTGATTAGAATCTGATCCAAGCGCATTCAAGCTGGAAGAACAACAAGTGTTTAAATATACCCTACAATGCTTCCATTCTTCCACACGAAAAAAGAATCGCTATGTCCAAAAGAATCCTTGAACTACACTGTTCTTGGCATATAACCAACAAAAATGCCTAAAACTTGCTTGACACGCCAGTAGCCTTTACCATTTCCCGTTCACTTGCCCGCTGTACGTATGAACAAACCCGCAGTAAAGCAACGGTCAGTATCTATGCCGGAGGGAATGCTGAAAGGAGAAGTTTTTTTTAACTTAAGACACCAAAGGTGCAAACAACTGGCCTGCAATTTTTCTGCAGTCTATACCTTTCATTTTCGAGAACGTTAACAGGAAATTTGACAGGGTTTGGTTTTGGTTGTTTTTTTTTCTTTCTCTTTTTCCAAAAGATGAATATTCCTCATAATCACAAAATCTATCTTTTTATCCAAGCAATCTTTTTATAAGTAACTGGGAGGATCTTTATTCATTCACCTGTTCTAAAGAGCAGTATTACTTTCTCACTGGCCTTATAACTAAAGAGGGGAAAAAAAAAAAAGGGGGGGGGAACATCCCAGAAGACCCCCAAACATATACTTACTTTCCGTCAGATGAAATTCCAACTATTCTCCTGAGATCAAGTGGCCTTCCCATATCAAAGGGAGGGTTTGAGGCCTCAAAGGACAAGCGCCTCCTAAATGGCTCCCAAATTCCTTGAGCTTCTAGATAGGCTGTTCCAATTACCAAGAGAAAGAGTACGCTGCAGAGAAGAGAGGCAGTCAGCTAAGTTTTTATTAGTTTTGAGCATTTTAAGGTTAACGAATCTAATCACACAAGACAAAAAAAGTCTGTGTCTTGTACTGAAAAGCTGAAAATTGCATCCAAACCGCAACTCTGTCCGGTAGAAACATAAAATACACGAGTCTAGCATGATACACACATCACTAATGCTGAGAATGGAAGCTAGATGTAAGTCTGACACGCAGTTGCCGATATTAATTCGAAAGAAAAAAAAAAGAGAGAGAATTAAAATATTAAAATGGCATCCAAGTGGTGAGCAGCTCTCAGTTTGTTGGTGCAATTCCATTTTAAAAGCAGAGACCCCTCTGCAGAGACCTGTACCGCTGCTCAGAGAAGAAAAATTTAAGAGCATTATTTCAAGGAGTTTTACAACAAACTGCGTCTGCTGCAATAGCGTGTTTAGGAGTTCTCCACTTACATAATGCACTGCAGTGAACTATATTTTTGAATGAAGCAATAAAACCACTGCAGAGACCTTCATCGCACTGCTATCGATTTCATCTTCTAAGAGGTGGGAGTTTCGGGGGGAGGAGACACAATGCCGATGACTAAGCTTGCCTTGCCTATTACCCTAGAAAGTTTAAATTAGCAGCTCCAGTTTCTGTTCTCCCCCAGTTCTGACTGCCAGTTTTTCTAAGCCAAATGTATGAAACCCAGCATCAATTCACACAAAAGGATGAGGTACCTCTTGCTCAATTTTAGCTAAAAGAATCTAGTCTAGATACCATCTTTTAAGTTTTAACTATCACCAAAAATACAAGCAACTCTGGAGCCCAACTCAGCTGTTGCTAGCTGGTTATCAGCGCTTTTTTCCCTGCCCCAGGGATTAAAAAGGATTCCAGATGGCAGAAGGTAGGAAAGATAATTTTCATCCAAGAGGTTAACAAGCAACAGAAAAGCTAAAGAAAGCGGGGAATTTTTCAGACAAGCTTACACAAACTGTCACTCAAAAGAGTAACGCTGGCCTTGGGTGCCGTGCCAACAATAGCATTACCTTTGGGCTGTAAGGAATGAGGTACGACCTCTTTCACTTGTTAGTTGTAATCCATGCAGCTATTTCAAAGTTTCACAAGACTGATACCAACAAGAGCATCACACGTCTCTATCACCACGGTGCTACACAAACGTGGGACGGAGCGGGCAGGGTGGCACTCTGCCCCCTCACCCCCACCGCACTCCCCTCACGGTACCAGTGCTGGGCTCCCCAGAGGTTGTACAGCGGAGGGTGCAGCCAGAGCTCACCCTGAGGGCTTCTCCTCGGCGTAAGGACTCGACTCCACGTGAGTCAACTTTGGTGTTTTGATAAACAAATACCAGCTTTGAAATGAAAGATAAAACAAATCTTGGCTTGTGGTCTTTTTAACTGCACTTTGTGGTTTTGGGGTGGTGGTGGTGAGAGCGGTGGTGGTTTGGGTTTTTTGCTTTTTAAAAAAATCATTATTAGGGGGGAAAAAAGATAACTAGCCTAAAATGTTCATGTCATTTAAATTACAAAACAAATTACTGTGAGGAACACCACACAGTGGGGAGTAGCGCGGTCTAGACACCCAAGAAGGATCTTGGTATTTTTTCTTTCCCCTCACAGTTTTATCCTGGAGCACATGTACGCCTGGTCGGCAAGTTCTTTACAAAAAGGACTGGCTCCTTTGTCGTGTTTGTACATATCCTATCAAGTCGGACTTCAAAACTTGGAGCCGCAAATACGGTAACAATCCCAGTCAAGAATGATTTAGGGAAAGCAACAATAAACACCACCTTATCAAATTAAGAACATGAACTAGACAAAATCCTAGAGTTGTTCATTCCTACAAATTAAGGATAGCTTTGCAACAATATGGAAGTATTGTTTTAGTGGCAACTACAAACCACTGTGTGGTGGCACCCTAAAAGTTAGAGGCTGCTTGTGCACAGGATCCTTGGAATATTATGAAATGGTTACATTAGGACTCTTCTCTACTTTGCTGCTAAGAAGGATGTTTTGTACTTGTCAGAAAAAGACATAGGGGAAGGATTAGTATTCTGTATTCTTTTGGAAAGTCTAATTAACAAACACAGTACATATAAAATTATTCACGCAAACTACACTTAGGAGCTGACAAGCCTTATTCACTCTGTCAATAAACTAAAGAGAAACTAAGCTTATAAATTTGTAGAAAACGTACAGAAGAAAGCCACTTAGCAAAGTGCTGAGTAAGTAGTTAAGTCATGCAGTGTTAGTTAGAAAACAAAATTTCCTAAGTAATAGAACTTTTCCTGTTACTTAGGAAAATGCAGTTTCCTAAGTAACGCTGCATTACTTGGGAAAGTGCTGAAGAGTCAAAAATGAAAATGAAGCAGGCTGTAACTTTATCTTCACTATTTCTTTTATCAATCCTTAGAAGGAAAGACAGCCCAACGGAAAATCAAGTATCTTAATATATTAAAAAAAAAAAAAGGCAGGAATATTACATATCTGTGATAAAGCTTTGGATTTGCAGCACACAGAGGGGCCACGCTTCCACCCCAGGCATCTCCAGCAGCAATCCATCTCACACTAAGATATAAGCTTAACGCTAATGAAAAAGGAAAACAGCATTTGCTGTTACAGATAATTAACAAATTTTACTGATAAGTTTCTATGCTAGGATTTTCTCTGGATAAAGGCAGTGGGGGAAAGTGTCTCACATCAAAGAGACAAGCAGGGACACATTGTTTATAACCTCAGATTCCAGATAAACAAAGATAGGTAGAGGTCAGACTAGGGAAACGCAGTGGAATTTTCAACTCATATTTCAACCAGTTGTAGCTACCACACATCTGTTTGCTGAGAAAAAAGTGCATTAATATGCTACTACGTAACCTCCGAGCGTGCAGGGTTGCAAACAATGCTCTTCAGGTTCTCAGAAATCCCATGATTAGTATCACCAGTTGTCCGTCACATACGAGCGGCAGCAAAGTTAAATTCATCCAAGGCATCCGCTAAGCTCATTACAGTCACTGCCCCGTATCTCTCTAAAGCACAATAGACCAGAAGGATGCTTAAATTTCTATGGGAATCTACAGTTCGCAGTGCTTTAATTCCTAATTTGATTGAAGTTTGGCCTAACTATATCAAAAAACCCCTACACATTAGCGGGGTTAACAGGAGTATGTATCTCACCTAAGGAAACAGGCCCAAGCAAGAACTGTATTATTTTGTCCTCAGTTTGAGCACAAAGTCTGTACTCCTCAGCTTTAAACTGTTCGCACTCAATCCATACCAGCGTTTTTTAATTTGTTCTCCTTGGTGACCTCACCCTATTTTATTTTACACCAATTATAGCATGTACTGAATACATATATATTTCTCTGTAACCTGTGTTCAAGCAGTGGTCATTCATGCACGTACACCGCTAACGACAAACGCACACACACACTACCTCATTATTCCTGAGATGATTATGTACAGTGCCAACTCCCAGTTGGGCCTGGGGAGCGCTTCTGCACACGTTGCTAACATGTGATATGGAAGGGATGCGTTCAAGATAAATACAAATTCAGAACCTCCTGCAGTGATGAATTTTAATTCACGTATGACTCTGGAAGCAGTGAAATCGGGTGTAAACCTGAAAACAAAGTAAAGCACATTAGAACTTTTCATATGAACAGCAGGAAATTTTGAAGTAATTTACATGATTCATGAATTTAAAGCCCAAACCAAACCAAACAAACAACTCCACCAATTACTGCCGTGACTGGCAGCCCAATCAAACATTTATAACAAATAGTATGACATGAGTATGACTAATGATCACCCACACAATTACCCTAAAAATACTTGAGAGTATCTTTCAAATACCTCAAGATGTCTTTGACCAAGTTCAATAAACACCTATGCTTAACACATCTGATACTAGATTACCTCTGATACACCATATGAAGATGTATTATAACCACTGAAATTAAGTTTTGACCAAATCTGTTAAAATAAAGCTATGAAGGCAGTAAAAAAATTAACAGCAGCTGTAAGCAATGGAACTGACCATTATGTGAGCTAGGAAGTTTTTCAACACTTCACAACTGCATGCCTTTTCAAAAGCATCACCACTACGTTCCCGTCTCGTCACAAACTAAGATCGTTGCAGAAATACTAGTGAAGTTTCACTGCCTGCGATCTTGTACACTCTCTTGCAGAACAGAAGCATCTTCTGAACTTCTTAGATACCATATTCTGAATTGTTAACTTTACATCCAAGCAGTGTTAAAAGATTGGTTTGGTGCAGAGATCATTTACAATAAAAATTGACAGAATTAATCATTATCATTAAGGTAGCAGATAAAATATTCAAGACTAAAATGCTGTGCATTACGGTAATAATCCTTAGACTAAAGGCTCTTTTCTACATACTGCAATGCACCAAAAACATATGTAAATCTAGATCTCAAGTGCATTCACAATCCAAATGAAGGAAATGTATAAAAAACCCCATATAGTAACACTATTCCAACTCAGTAAGTTATACTTACTGGATAGTAACAAAAGTAATACTACAGTCAGCCATGAAAACTTGAAGCTACTTAAAAATGAAATAGTGTTTGCAAGAAGAGAGAAAAGTGTCATGTTTTAAGTTGTATTAAAAAAACCCAAACACTCAAAGCTGAAGTAAAAAACCTCAGAATTTAACAGAGTTTTCCTCCGCAACAGAATTAGGTATACAGAATTCCCAGTGTAAGACTCCATTTAGATGTAAGAAAAAATACTTACAATATGACAATGTCTTTTGAGGCATTGGCACTTAGTGCAAACTCGTGACAGTTAACTACTTTAAATCCATATCCTTCACATGTATAGCCACTGATTTCCATACTTTTCACATTAATCTGGAGCTGTCCTGTGTTTTCCACTTTAAATGTTCTTCTCAGTGTGAAATTCGGTTCTTTGTATTTCATTTCTAGAATCAAACAGCAGAAAGTGGTTAGTGTTGTGCTAAACAGATATCCTTCACTATATTCGTGTCCTACAGCAGAAGAGAGCTCTGTCAGTATCAGAGCAGGAAAGGGGACTAGCGAGGCCCACGGCAATGTTCACGTAACCTGCAGGAACGTATCTCTGCCGCCGGATTCTCATCGCTGTCAAGGCAGGGCACTTGTACAACTCCAGAGCCCTCTGATGCATCAGGGGCAAAAAACCCCAAACCCTCAAACCTCTGATAGCACTGCTGCCTCACAAAAAATCATCTAAGCTGTAAAGTTCTTTGACGTACTGCTCAGTGTTGTGGCAGTCTGTGAAAAGTCTCAGCATGAGGAGAATTAAAACTTATTTTTTTGTGTCTTAAAAATAAAATCCACAGCTGAGCTACACATATCTTATTAGCAAAAAAAAAAAAAATCCCTAAACCACAACATGTAATAACTAAGTTTTATTTGAACTCTTCTTACTTCTCCCTCAAAAAAAGCAGAATAATCTCAGATAATAATTAACACGGCACCTTACAAATATGTCTGGAAAACCGCAAAGTAGAAAAGCAGATTTTAATACCAGATACAACTAAATCTCTTTTACCAGTTCCTTTGGTAAGTAATACAGGTACTCTTCGCTCTCCTCTCAGAAGCAAGCCTGGGGCCACAGAGCAGAAATCCTCTGACCCCAGAGCAGAATCCAGCTGGGAATCAGTTCGCATCAAGAAACACACCCTACCTTTTTCCCTGTTGGCTATGTGCATAAAGATTCTGAAGGTGTGCGGCGGGGGGGAAAAATATATATGGAAAGTTGCACCTGTGATCCAATTTGACTTTAAATTTAGGAATTAAGAGATTATCCTGATAAATATACTAGGATCTTCACCTCTTCTACCTTGAATTTTAGTGGATGAAGGGCTTTTGTTTCATCTTTCCTACTTCTCACGTTAAAATTAAAAAGGTAAAATACTTTATTTTCTGCCTAAATAAAGCAGCAATATTAATGTATTTAAAGGAATTAAATTTCTGGGGCAGTAGAATAGGGAAGAAATATTTCCACACATTTCCAGTTGTACATGTAAAATGCAATTTCTTTTCTGTTCAGCATAGTAGCTCAAGAAGTACTCACTTTCTGAACAGTCTTTCAACAATGCTTCTGTGATTTTAAAGCGCAAAGAACTTCCTGGACCAGGGGGTTTGCCTGCAACCTTCAAGCTCTCAGTCGTTCCTTGTCCTTGTACCATTATGGCATCTATGACAGTCAGATTATTTCTGTGTACAATGAAAAAGGGGAAACATTCATAAAGGATTATGCAGTCTGTTGCTCCTGCAAGCTTCTCTACAGACTATGAAGTTATATCCCAAATCTGGAGGATGGAAATAAAACCAGTTCCACAGATAATTCCCCACAATACGGAAATAAATAGTGGGGACGTCTCAAACATAGTGTTTGCAAGACAAAAACCTAAGAAATGACAACATAGTGTACAAATAACAAGCCCAATGAAGTACTAGTTAAAGTTTATATTTCAACATCATATTAATGTATCATACCTGACACAAAGTGAAATAGTTATTCAAACAGAGCTCCTTACTAGAAAGGCTGAACTTGCATTGCAGCTTGATCTTGCAAATGGCATCTATAACTAGAGTCCCACTTTCAAGATAGTGTAGTATGTATTTAAGAATTCAAATCTCCAAGTACTGGTGGATGAAAAGCTGGACATGACCCGGCAATGTGCGCTCACAGCCCAGAAAGCCAACCATGTCCTGGGCTGCATCACAAGCAGCGTGACCAGCAGGTCGAGGGAGGGGATTCTGCCCCTCTGCTCTGCTCTGGTGAGACCCCCCTGCAGTACTGCCTTCAGCTCTGGGGTCCTCAGCACAAGAAGGACATGGACCTGTTGGAGCGAGTCCAGAGGAGGCCACGAAGATGATCCGAGGGCTGGAGCACCTCTGCTGTGAGGACAGGCTGAGACAGTTGGGGTTGTTCAGCCTGGAGAAGAGAAGGCTCCAGGGAGACCTGACTGAAGCCTTCCAGTAGTTAAAGGAGGCTTATAAGAAAGATGGGGACAGACTTTATATAGGGCCTGTTGCAACAGGACAAGGGGTAATGGTTTTAAACTAAAGGAAGGCAGATTTAGATCAGATATAAGGAAGGAATTTTTTACGATGAGGATGGTGAAACATTGGCACAGGTTGCCCAGAGAGGTGGTAGATGCCCCATCCCTGGAAACATTCCAGGTCAGGCTGGACGTGGCTCTGAGCAACCTGATCGAGTTGAAGATGTCCCTGCTCGTTGCACGGGGGGTTGGACTAGATGACCTTTAAAGGTCCCTTCCAACCCAAACCGTTCTGTGATTCTATTATAACAGCGGATTATATATTTATATTAGAAAGTATGTACTCAATACAGTTTAACTACTGTAAAACATATCACAATTACATTTAAATTAAATCTTTCTCCAAGCACATTTGATTCTACAATTATTCTTGTAAAAGCAAGAGTTTCTTACTGACAGACAATCACAAGTATGATCTTATACATAAATAAAAAACATCGGAAAAACTCACACTCATTTCAGAAATATCTATCATACCTGATAACAATTAATGATGAAACAGTTTTATTAAGAACTGGAGTGAACTTTACTTTGACAGACTTTCTCTCACCAGGTTTCAATATTAGGCTTAAAACTGAATGACGAGCCAGGCCCTTTGTAAGTCCTACAGTGCTCTGTAGTGGCTGGACCTTAAGACAGTGGGGAAAACAAAGTGACTTTTAAAAATAGGAAATTTTTACATACATTTGATAGAAATTATATTTTTTTAGCTAGAAAAATTGGTCTTGGCATAAAGTGTACTATCCAGTGACATATACTGTGGTTTTTTTTCAACCTGAAAGTCTGATAGCACAAGAATTTCCCTACTTACTAATAAACCATCTGTGTTTATTAAGAAGCAGAAGAACACCGTAAGACAGAACTGAGCTAAACTACACCCATGTGGATTTATAAAGTTCTAGTAGAAGAAAGAGTTCAGAAATTCTTAAATGTGTATTTAAACACCAAATCAGCATTAAGCCACATTTTCTATCCTCAAAATTTTCCACTGTTAATATATATATATATGGAATATATAAAGGGGAAAATGCAAACTTAAAATAGAAGAACTATTGAAAAAAGTGTATTTTTCCAAGTTTGCCTTTAGACACAGTGCAAGCATTGAATTGCTCATCTAAAACAAACTGCAAAAGGAGAGTGAAAGGCATACATATTGGATAAGAAAAGAAAGTGTTCAGGATGTGGCATGCTCTCTATGAAAAAGCATGCACTTAAAGTTGTCCACAAAACTCAAATCACTTAAAAAAATAAAGCAGTGGAAAACTCAGTACTTAGGTAATTTTTGAACTAGCAACCACTACACCAAAGAAAATAATCCTGTATCAGTTAGAGAATGAATAAATGCAGTTTTCCTGTAACTTCCACAATCCTATTATAACATAAACATACAGAAAAAGTGACATTTTAACTGTTACATTTGAAGAAATACAACTTTTCCTAATTTCCTGAAAATATCCAACAGAAGCATCACATTTTTCACACATACTAATACCTAAACTTGAAGACATGTGACTGAACTCATTAAAATATTACGGTATTTAAATTTAAAAATGTAAAGAATGTATTGAAATACTTACACAATTTCTGAAGACCTGGAACTCTAGAGTCCTCAGATTGAAATTAGTCGGCTTACTCAAATTAAACCTGAAACAGACATGCAGGGTTTTTTTTGCCCTCAGATCAGGGAAGATAATGACATAATGCATTTATGGGTTTTAACACAAATCAAGAACCTGTGGTAAGACTCAAACGATGCAGCTGAAAGGATCGTTTGATTATTTTTATTTTTTTTTTATTCCCCCTCTCATACATCAAGTTAAGGAAGAAACGTAAACACCATTTTAGCTCAGCAAAAGATACATGTGATCAATGGCAATCAGCCTAGATTCAGTTCTCAACTGGCCTAATGATTCCAATTCTGGAAGCGGCCAACACTGTAACTACCAGCACAGCTGCCAAACGCTGCATGCATTTTTTGTAAAATGCATTTTGCTGCAGAGTGACATGGCCTTAGCCTTAAGTACTCCAAAACAATACTTACCGTTCTAACATTTTATCGACAAAGGTGGATGGGTTAGAATACAGAGCTACAGGAAGGAACTGAATAAACACAGGAACGTCAGCTGGATTTTCTAGAAAAATTTCTTCTTCCTATTCAGAAACACAATTTTTTTTAATAGTTTACATTAGGATTAATGTAATTAGAAATACCTAGTAAAGTGCAGTCCCTACAAAATGGTATTATCAACAAAATAACTTACTGATGAACTGTTTGTATTGGTAAGAGGGAAGCTTAGATGGCGTGGTGAACGAAGTACGGAAGGCCAGGCCATTTCTGCTGTAATTTTCAACCGGACGTCCTTCTGAAGGTCTGTGTCTACTTCAAATACAGCATTCAGTCTGGAGAAACAGTTACAAAGCTTACTTTACAGGAGTAAAATAGGAAAGCCTAGAAAAAGCAGAGGGCTTAAAGAGGACTCTAAAAAGAACATTAGTTTGAGAAATAGCACGGCACATTATATTTATATGCAATTAAAAACCCCCACTGAGCTCTGCCCATATGTACTGCTATTAAAAAGCACAACAGAAACCGCCAAAACACACTACAGGAGACCAATCCAAAGGTCCTAAAGATGTTCTTTATTAAGTATTGTTGTCAACATCCATCCATTCCAAGTTCTGTTATGGCCTATTTATGGATAAAGGTGAGCAGGAAAATGTGGTAGAACTTAGGCACTGCATCACAAATCTTTTGGTATTTGCATTTCTCTTAAATCACTGCTCTCTGGACAGTGAGACAGAAATTTTATCTTCCATTAGGAAGCACCTAGCTCTTACTATTGCAGAAACAAATTTTGAGAATATAACTGAGATTCAGATCAGTAAGAAGAATAATTCAAAATATATATGATGATTTGCAAAGGCATACACAGTAGAAAGGAAAAATATCAGTCCTGCTATAGTCTGTTTCCAATACATCCAGACATCCACTATCCAGAAAACGTACTCTGCCTGCACATGTGTAATGCACAGTAAATCTGTACATGTACCCCAGCTGCAATGGATACACGGAGTATGGTCCTGTACTCATGTCTAACAAATCTAAAGCAAATCTGAAGCAGTCACACCTGGTGCCCGCTACTATTTCCATCAGTGAACGAAGTTCGTTGCTGTTAACCAAGCTCTTGCCACAGACTTGGTTCCTGTTCTCCTACGAGCCCTCCACCATGAGCTGAACCAAGACTGAACAATCTGAGGTCTCCAGTCAGCAAAACCAATGAAACGCTGAACTTCAAGCCTAGAGAAGTATTTTGGAGAGACTCCAAATGCTCAAGTCAGAACTCCTCTGTATTCAGAAGGAGCGGCTTCTCCTTTGCTGAATGCTACCTTGGATAGCTGGTTAATTTTAACTGTCTTTAAAAGCATTACACATTCTAGATTACATATTATATTAACTAACATTACAGCATTGTATATTCTAGTTAGAACTGCTACTTATTCAGAAGTAGTTTTTAATAGAATTTTCCTTTCCTGTCCTCTTACTGTAGGTGATAGGACATTCTTGAAAGTTACCAGCATGGCTAAATAGAGGATTTTGTTTAGATCAAATTTGTTCAGGAGTTATTAATATATCAGCATTATAACAAAAAAATGTTAAAGGAGATATGCTTTTGTTACGCTATTTAGCTACATATAGCCATTTTGTTTCTCTACAAATATGCACACCCTTTTTGAAATGGTAGTCTGCATGCTATCATCACAAAAGACACATGCACTTGCTGTTAATGCTAACTTATGCCTCTTGGAGATTCAATCATTTTATGTATGAGAAGGCAGATGTTTAAAAGGTATATAGCAGCCTGCAGAGTTTGCTATTCAACATTTAGGAAAAGTCAATCAATATCACCTTCTATTTAGCAAATCTCCTGGAAAAACACCAGACAATTTGATAATCAACTGAAATGCAATAATCTCAGAATAGTAGCAATAGAAAACCTTATGAAATCTTAGAGGAATATGGAGGTTGCTACTCTAAACCAGATTAAGCTGGGGTACTGCACAAACAGTACAATCAGTTTTAGGAAATTTTTGCAGAGTAGAGACTGCCTTGCTGTTGTCATCTTTTCAAGAACTGCAGCACACTCTAGTGAATAGTAACTTTCAGTGATGTGTTTGACTTAAGGAAATTATTACTGTTTTTTAACCTTTAAAACATTCTCTTTAAAGGATTTGCAGAGAAGGTCAAGTAACTCCTCCTTGGCCGCCTCTCAAATAGCGCTTTAACATTAACAAACCTTGTATTTTGTAAGAGCACACATAACACAGAATTATCTAGTGACTTAAAGCCTGAGAAAACAACAGGGATAAAATACTTACCTATGGCTTGAGTTCTCTTTTATTTCCGTCCATTCTTTGAATAAGTTCTCATGCAAATCCCAGTCAGAATCCCATGCATCTTCTTGCATTGCTAGACTGTGCTGGACTTTAGATTCCGCTTTAAGAAATAATGTGTTTTTTAAACTCTTCATGTAAAATTATTGCTTAAGGAGAAAATTTTTTTCCAAAGATTCTTGTTACAAAGTTGAACATTACTTACATTTAGATAGAAAAGGCAATCCTACATAACAATGATCTCCACATTGTAAACCAGGATCAAAATAAATATTTGCAATCTGCAAAACAGATAAGGGCAGATCAATTGAGAAACAGCACAGTAAGTCTAATGGCCAAAGAAAAAAGAAAGAAGACTTCTGATGACCACATAAACTTAACATATACTATACATAAGACAGAACTTGTAAACATGTAGAAATAAGGCATAAACAAACCTTTGATTTTTTTCCTGGCTCTAAATCTTCTTTATTACTTCTTAGCCTCTTATAATAAAACCTTACATCTTCCGTCAGGGAGCGTATGTGTTGTATTTTCACTTTCTGAGAAAAGGAGTTCATAATGTTCAGGCTCTGGTGAACTACTTTCCCCTAAAGAAAAGAAAGGATGAAAAAAGTCTGCAGGATATGCATTTTTCCTAGCATATGTATTCATTTATGCAGGTTGGCAAAGACCATAGCAGAGCTGAAGTTTTACATTGAGATTTTTAACTACGCTATCTTAAAAAAATGCCACTTGTAACACTTCAGGGCAAGGTTCTGTGAAGTGTCTTGAAGAGCTAAGGACAACAGTTCTACTTAATCAAATCGCATTGAAAAAGTACCAGAGGAGGAAAGGCAAGAGAAAACTTCAGTTTTCTGAGCCTCCTATTACAAAAGGGAAACAAGCTTCTTGTAAGAGATCTAGTAGATAGTTGCTAGTAATTAGAAATAACCTGAAAGCAACAGTAGAGTGAAGGTGCAGATTACAAACACCACAGGTGACAGAGGGCATTTAAAGACATAGATACAACCCTCCTTCTCACTCCCAATGAAATTAAGACATCAGGCCTAAAATTACAATATTTAAAAAGAAAACAGTACAAGTTTTCTCCCCCACACCTTTACCCCCTGCCTTCTCTTCCGAGCCAAACGTTACTTTACCTTTTAAGCACAGAACACGTAGTTTCATTGTTTGTCATGACCAGGATCGTTACAATGCTCAAGCTCTCCCCCTGCCCTTACTTGTAAATCAGTGATTCTGTGGCCACGTTTTTCACCTTATCTCAAAACCCAGCCCTGACAAGTATAGAGTAAACAATAAATAAAAAACTGAAACAAACAAAGCAGCGCAACTCAGGACTGGTGACAAGATTTCAGATTTATATAAAATAAATGAATATAAGCAAATTTAAATACCCAAGACTGTCTTCTAATGAACATGACTAGAGTTTTTCATGTCTTCCTTAAATCAATACTTTCAGCTTTTTAAAAATTTCTCTAAGGTAAGGACTGAAGTGGAGAGATGGGAGAGAGGCACTTTGCAGGCTCAAAATTTGACTGTGGCCTCAGGAAAAAGTCACATATTAGTCTCAAGAGTAGCAACTGCAGAGGGAAAGAAAATACAAGAATAAATCTCTAAACAGTATAGTCCTGCTAAACTGAATGGAAGTATGTCTGAGCTTCATCTGTGGAATCCTATGAGTAACGAACTGCCATCAACTGGGCAAGATAAAGGTTTGTTAAACTGTAGAACAAATGAACAGTATTTTACTGAAACCCTTACGCAGCATTTAGACATGAAACAACAGATAAGGGAAGATGACTTTACCCATCAGTAATAAGAAAAACGATGCTATTTAGCATATAGGTCCTTAAAGATGAGCTTTGATCAGGGAAGATTTGAGAGGTAGCACTGTGATCTAAAAATGCCATTATGAAGCAGAAGTCAACACAGCTAGGATCTGTTTAAATCAAAAGACTGATCTTTACAAGGCCTGTATACACCGTTAGTGTATTGCTGACAAACTTTGACAGAATATCAGAAATCAGACTTAGGGGCAAACACACTACAATTATAAACACAGCCAGCCAGCACTGGGGACTGGGCAGCTGCAGGAGAATTACATCCGAGGTATGAACTGAAAAGCAAGCGTTACTAAAAGTGTAGTGCTTACTTATTCCTGGACATTATAGTTGTCAAATTTCTCCACCAAACACTGAAACAAGAAGAACTGATGCTATTTTAGACATATTTTCATAAGTAACGGAGACATTACAGAACAACTAGGTGCAAGAGTATCATGAATTCAGTGACCACAAGTTTAGTTTGAAGTGAATCCAAGAAAAAGGAAAAGTAAGTCTGTCAGTGTTCTCAAATATCAAAAGAGCTAAGTGATCCAACTAACAGAAGTAGTCACTGAAGCTGACTGCTCTGAAAAGCTTGGGCCTTGAACACAGAAAACAGTCTAGAATCTTGTCAAAGGCGATAATTCTGTCTGAACCTATACTCCCAAACAAAACACAGGAGGCCAAAGGTCCCTTGAATGAATAATTATGTGAAAACATTACTAGAAAAAGCATGAAGTCAATAAAAATCACAGCAGCCTGGGGATGAGAAAGAACGATGACAGCAAGGAAGCTATGCCTTAGAGGCTGAGAAACACAGATGCTACAAGAAGGAGCACCTGCCAAAATAACACACAAGCAAGCAAACAAACAAAAAAATCAAGCTGACCAAGACCTTGGGCATATACTAAGATACATCGAGAAGCTCTTTAGCCATTCCAGTTAGAACAAAATAAAGGGAGACTAAAAAAAATTACTTCTTTAGGGCCCAAAATGGAACAAAATATTTTAATGTGGCATTCAAGAGGGACAATGATCTTGCCAGGAATTAAGAAATATAAATTACGATATAAAATATAGAAATTGCTTTATCAGACCTTTAAGTTATTTCAGCTTATCAAAGGCATATGGAGCAGTTCGTAGATGAAGTTACAGATACGGTAGTCAGTGTAAAAATATCCACATAATGGTGAGGCCATGTAGTCAAATAGGAAACACAGATCCTGAACATAAAAAATAACAAGCGATCTTTGCAACTGTAGGCATGACCGTTTGATCTCAAGACTAGCAAAAGACTTCAGCACACTTTGTGAAGTAGGAGATCAGAAGGGAGATGGAATGGATAACGGGGCAAATGTAGCAATGATTTACTGAAGTCCTGCTGACTGACCTATCTTCCTCTGATGAGACCTACTGCACTACCTTTTCAAAAAATTATAATTTATCTAGGAGACATGAGGTAAAGCATTTGATAAAAGTGCCACTGAAAAATTACCATTTAAGAGTACACAAACTGTAAGATAAGCAGGAGATACTACAGAGCTAACGGAAGAGGAGGTAGGAACAGGCAGTGCTCTACAACAGGTTGAGGCTATGCAGGACAGACAAGGAAACAAAAACCATTTCCACCAACATGCACAGAGTTAGTTTTATCTTTTCAGAAAACTGCTATCTCTGTCTCCTTTTGCTACCTTTTCCCCCCACAGTTTTCAGTCTCTCTCCCTATGATTTCCCATCATATTACATTCCCCACGCATCAGAAAGTCACATAAAGTTCAGACTTCAATGAAATACCAATTGCAAAGACAATATGCCTTGACTGCCCATGCTTCTATGGTTATGCTGAATGCCAAGCCAGAAGAAAGTATTTATCTGGTTAATAGCCTGCTGCTTGAGTCTGTAGCCCTGAGCAAAGCAGCTGCTTTCAGCACTCATTGAATAAACACTACGGCAGGAGCAGGGATGAAAACAGCCATTACAGATTCTTGCAGAGAGCTGAAGACCCACACAGCTTTCTTGTTTTCCTGTTCATGTACTCCACCATGTACCCTCAAGAGACCTATTTTCAGTGTGGAAACAATACAATAATGCTTCCACAGAGATCAAGGACGACTTACACTAAAATGTCAGTTTATTAGCTGACTTTGTTGTCTTTGGTATTACACTTCAGGAGTTTGAAAAATGCATTTCTGCAATTTCAACTCTCTCTTACTCTTGGTGCTAATGCACATGAACTGGTAATAACCAAGTGACCACAGCTACGTTAGAATGAGGCTGCAAAGAATCAGGTTTGGGATCATATCAGTATTCCAAGATCCCATTCAAGTGGGCAGTAGAGGAGATGTAAGCATAATTCATGCTTGGGACGTGTGGGGAAAAAAAAAATAACCAAACAAAAAATAGCGACAAACTGAGTAACAGTTCAGTAACACCACCTCTCCAGCAATCTGACATGCAACAATTCAAGACAGCGGTTTCTCTTGAAAAGGACAGATAAACAAAAAACATAGCAAGAAAACATTTAATGTTATGACCCAACTCTCTTACCGGAAAAGAAGGTGGAAGAAAAACATGTTTTGGGGAGCAGGTCAGCGAGCCTACAGCAATCACTGCCTTCACTGGTATAGTTAAAATCTGGGGAAAAAAAAAAAAAACACCAAGAAAAGTTTAACAAAAAACAACTTAAATTTCAGCCTTTAAATGTCTCTTCCACTTTTAAATTGCATAGAATAACAAAACCCTGAAGTTCTACAATTAATGTAGACTAGGTTTATATACACATTTGAAACATGGAGTCATGAATTAAGATTTCAACACATCATCACATTCAGAACAGTCACTCCATATTGTCAGGAAGCACACCTTTGCTCAGTCATACTTAGCACCATTCTATACGGAACACAAAAGCACAGTTAAAACATAAGCTCTCCAATGGGGCACTATATAGGTCTCACTTGAATGGGGCTTACTTTGTTGGAAAACAGGAGGATAACACCTTTGAAATAAATGACGGAAGAGAATATACCAAACTTCTCAAGAAACCAAAAAACCGTAAGAAGTCATGGTAAGACCTCGAGGTAGACATAGACTTCGAAAAAGGAGTCTGGAAGGGATGGCAATGAGATCTTTTCTGTATATTATTAAAGTTACCAATACAAGCAGAAAAACTTCAAGAAAAAGCAAGAAAATAAAAAGCTTCAGATTGTATAACTGAAGGGTCACATACATGTATGGATGTTAAAAAAGCTTAAAATCTCAGATCGCACAAATTAGGAATTTCCCATTTTCTGTAGCTTGATCAGAACACCATAAACACAGAACAAGCTATATATTTTCCTGACTTCATAAGCACAATGTGTCACTTTTTTTTTCCTACATATATCACCCAAAGATATTAAATACAATCTCTCTCATCTGCAAAATAATTTATTAACAAGAAAGGCATATGAAGTTGAGAATTAACTGGTAGTTCTTCTTTCCCTTACTAATCTTAGTGTAAGAACTCCATTTCATCTCCTGTCAGCAAACTGTAATTTCTCCAAAACAACTTTCACATTGAGTTTTGACAAAAAAACCTTCTGAAATTATAGCTCAATTTCAGTAACTGATAATGTACCAAAAAGCACATTGCCAGCACGTGTTATGCCGAAAGGTCCATGCCTTGATGCTTTGAGGATGTGTCAAGTCATTGAAGAACCCATACCTCAAAGCATTAGGTCAGATTTAAACGGATATTGCTGAAAGCCAGATGAAAATCATAATGAAAGTCATTCTTCATTCCTTCAGAAAAGACACAGCATAAGTAGCACTGCTGTCATTTGATGTAGGGTTAACTTGCAGAGATAACCTGACCTCCAGAGGTCCCTTCCAATCTTTCCCTGATATCACAACCTATCCACTAAGATAACTCTTAAAACTTCACACTTAAAAATTGAACATATCATTTGGGCTACACCCATGAATACGCAATAAATATACCTCATAATCTGTCGTGATTTGTACAGCTCCATCATGAATTCCTTCAAGTTCTTTAGCTATTAGTTTTACTCTAAACACAGCATAATAACCTGACGCTAGTATCACCTGTAAATGGTAGAAAAAGAGTCATCCATTGTATTCCTTTAAATGGAAATATATTTCACTTAAAAACGTACCCAACATCCCCTTATTTCTTTAAATTGAATCAAAATCCCTTTGAAACAACCGTCACTGGTAAAAAGAAAAATCCAAACACATCAGTTACTGACACAAAAATTATCTATTCCTTGAGGTGATAAATTCCA